CAGATCTACCAATCCCATCCTAACAGTTGAGTTCCAAAAGTTGATGGAAACTAAATTTGAGATGAGCTCAATGGGTCCAATTAACTTTTTTCTTGGATTAAACATTAGACAGGGACTGGAAGGCATTTTCATTAATTAGGAGGCTTACACGAAAACTCTACTCGCTAAATTTGGAATGTTGGGAGACTCAAAGATGAAGGTTCCAATGGCATTCTGAACGAAACTGACTCCTTCACTGGATAAACCGGTTGCTGATATGACCCTTTACCGTCAGATGATTGGTTCACTCATGTATCTAACAACTAGTAGACCAGATATCATGTTTTCAGTTTGTTATTGTGCTAGGTTCCAAGCAAATCCACACGAACCTCATATGGTGGCTTTCAAGAATATTTTCTGTTATCTGAAACGAACGTAATCTCTTAGAATTTGGTATCCTTATAATTCAGGTTTCTTTGTACAAGCATTTTCAGATGTTGATTTGGGGGGTTGCGGTTTAGACAGAAAAAGCACAACTCGTGGTTGCCAATTTCTCGATAGCAAGCTGGTGAGTTGGCAATCAAAGAAACAAACATACGTTTCGTTGTCAACAACTGAGGCTGAATACATTGTTGCAGCTTCGTGCACATCTAAAATCATTTGGGTTCAAAGCCAACTTCGCGAGTATGGCTTAAATATGAAAAGAATTCCTCTCTATTGTGACTCCAATAGTGCCATTCGCATATGTCACAACCCAGTGCAACACTCAAAAACGAAACACATAGCACTGAGGTATCACTTTATCAAGGATCGTGTGGAAGATGGCAATGTTGAGATTCATTTCTTAAGATCTGCTGATCAATTGGCTGACATATTCACCAAGGCCCTACCTGAAGCAACATTTAATAGAATCCTTCAAGGGCTGCGAATGATGGAAGCTGGCTCTATACCAAATCTACCATCGCATTCATAAAATCTTCACTGCGAATCGGTGCGAACGTTCGCAGGCTTTCGCAATCCGCTGTTTATTAACAATTTGTTTTATCAATGTGAATCAATAGGAACGTTCGCAGTAGTTCGAAGGGCACTATTCATTCTTGGTTTGGTATTTCACATATCCTTTTGTATTTTGTGTATCTTTTCTTATCTCAATGTCAAATTTCTTATCTTATCTCTGTTTTCAAAATTTTTTATCACTGTGAATCGGTGCGAACGTTCCCAGCCTTTCACAGTTAACTGTTCCTTAACAATCTTATCACTACGAATTGGTGCGAACGTTCGCAGCCTTTCGCAATCCACTATTCATTATCAGTGTGTTTTTACCTTATTTTCAAAAAAACTCCAAAAACCAAAAATAATTTAATTGCTTTATTTTACTGCTTTTCAGAATCATCAAAATCACAAAAATATTTTTACCTTTTGTTCATTTTCTTTGCACACCAAGATCATAAATGAAGACGTTCACAATGTCTATCTACTTGTGTGATGGGGCATGCATGACTCTCGTTACTTATGTATTAGCTAAGTATCCCAAGAAGCATGCTGCTGCATGTTGACCTAAGCCTCAACGACTCGACTGTGAAGCCTTAATGAATTGATATCACCAATCAATTCTTCCCAATCAGGTTGCGAATTTACATTAGTCATGAGCTACCTTACTCTTCTCGCATTGATTTAAGAGTTTTTCCAAGGTGACATTCGCATTGCAAAGGTACTTTCGCTCTCTTGTAACCATATGCTTTCTTCTCCATCACTTTCTCTTTCATCAATGTAACACTTGAGACTCTTAGAAATTACCGCTGAGGTTTATGGTTATACAAACATCTGTGTTAATGATCTTAGTTTCGTTATACGATGAACTGAGTGAAACCCAAAATTCAATACCCACAATCAATTGACCGTGAACAATCACATGTTCTAGTTTTCACCTAAGGATTAACGAAACCACTTTCGTGGGAGGTACCATGAAATCTCTTTTTATCTTTTCTGTGATCTTTATGAAATTGTCTTACACCAAGACTCTTCTACCCAAAAGATCCAGTTTACTTTTTTTAGATTTCAATATTATTCCAATTCAATGACAAAAAATTTGCATCCTACTCGTTCAAATGACTACACAGGTCACATGAGTACCTTTTCTAACTTTCGCACTTATGTCAAGTTCATATTTTGGTTCACGGATAAACCACATTTACTAGCCTTACATAAAAGATCTCTTTCAGTGTTTCTTATCAAACAATTGATCGTATTCAATAGGAAACCGAACAGACACTTCTTAGTCTCTCTTGACTATGAATAAAGAGATCTTTTCCTGGCATCAACAGTTTTATGTCACATATACGACATCACAACATCCCACAGATACAGTTTGATTTATTTCTTTTTGCTTTGACACTATTGCATGAAGATCCTTGTCATTTCAAAAGTCTTGTTCGTGGTTACATTTAACTTTCAGGTTCGCAGTCGTATGCATTCAACGTAATTTCCTTACTGCGAAAGAAGATAGGATGACGCGGCAGATTTTCAAAAGATCAGAATTTAAACGGGCATGTGAAAAGTTGAACGGACAGCTATTCTTACGCCACGTGATGCACGCCTCTGACTTGTCATAGCTGTCAAATCGTGCTTTTCCCGGCAATGGTTCAGTACTTGAGATTCTCTCTTCGGATTTCTCTCACCAAATCAAATCGTATAAATGGATTTTGACGGTTCATTATTTCATTACCACTTTCAAAATTTTCTCAAAGATTTTTGGTGATTAAAAGGCTCTCTAGTGTTCATCTTCTTCAAAGCTTCATCAATGGCGACTTTATCTGAAAATCAGTATGTTCAAGATCAAACTGCTCATTCAACACTCCTTTCAGTGAAGCAACATCACAATCTCATCATCGATTTGGATCCGGTAAAATATGATGCCTTTCTTCTACCTCTGATTGAGTGCTTGAAATACTATCCTCTTACTATTGTTATGTCTCAGGTTGAGAATGTTCATCTCTCAAATCTCTCTAAAGCATATACCACTGCAAACTATGTCAAGGATGAGCAAAGTATTTACTCCGATATCCATAATCACACCAACTCGATTTCCAAGACCCGCTTTTGCAATCTGTTGGGGCTCCTACAATCTGAAAATCCGATCAATCCAGAAACCATCTCCACCGCAGCCATCTTGGAAATGTTCTATCAAATGGGATACAAGGAAACACTCGCTGATGTATCCAAGTTCAAGAAACCCAATCTTCCACCAACTTGGAATGCCCTTTTCACCATCTTGCTCAAATCCTTTTATGAAAGGGTCACAGGCAACGATTGTACAAGCAAGCTTTTCATGGGTCTAATGTATGGCCTATATACTAGTGAAAACATAGACTATGGTTCTATCCTCAGGGCTCAATTCATCTAGAGCACTCACTTTATTACTTGTCACAGTGAGATCTCCTGTGCGAGATTTTGGATCGTTGTTCTCAACAAGGTTAGTAAATAGCTCATAATTACAGTGATGACTGATGCACTTATGGCTTCCATTGCGACATTCCATACAACAGGTATTATTATTGCAGATAGGTCCAAGTTTGATTTCATTGGTTCAATTCCGGAAGCGATGTTTCGTGATGTTCCTCCCATGAGTAAAATTCAAGAGGGATATCGTGCCCTTACTCCTTCAGGACCTCGTCCTTTAACTGATGAGTTCCAAGCCATTTTGGTTGAGGTTGAGAAACCCAAGAAAGGGGGCGAAGGGTCCAAGATACCTACCAAGAAAGATTCTATGAAAGAAGGGACTTTTGTGGCTCCGAAACCTCCATCTCGGAAGCGAAAGGCTCCTACTACCTCTACTGCTGCACCAAAGAGAAGAAAGCAACCCGCTATAAGATGAAAGTCTCCTACTCTTACTCCATCTATGATTGAATACGCAAATTCGGATTCTAATACCGAGTCGAAGATTCGCATTGAGGAGGATCCCCCTATTCGCAATGAGGTAGATAACCATTCACACTGAAGAACAAGAACACGTTCGCAATGAGGAGGAAGAACAAGTTTGCACTGATCGTGAGGTAACTCCAGTCCTTAATGATTTTGTTCCTTCTCCACCTCCCTCACCAACAACTATTTCTATACCAATCACCATTACTCCTCTCCCACCTGTATCAAAACACCCACAACTATTCCAGTTTCCATACCTATTTTCACAGATTCGACAATTCCACCATAAACCTCTACTGCACCTATAAGGTCAGTCAAAATATCTGATACCGGGGCTAACACTTCAGGTTTTTCAACCCATGTTACACCACCCATCTCTCCCATTCGGATAGATGATCCAGATGTGATTTTCATAGATGATGAAGATGATGATTTGGAAGAATTATCTTTCAGTCCTTTTCAAATAAAGATTGTCAATGAAGATGATTTCTCTACTTCGAAAGTGGAGTTCAAATCTCTTCATGAGAAGCTTGATTAGCTGCTTCTTGCATCCAACGTTTCCACTTCTGAAGCCTACTCGAAAGTTGCGATTGAATCCATCCTTAAGAGAGTTACAAAGGAACATACTGCTAACACTTCTAGTTTCTCCAAGATAGTTTCTGACTATGCTATTGTTTGCAAGGAGACGACCGGAAAAAGTCGATAAACTAATTGCTAGCATAATGGAATTCGTGGACGCTTACCAGGTTACCTAAAACGACAACACCACAACAACGAACAAGGTTATTTAGAATGTTGGTGCCATGTTCGAAGTAGAAAAGGAGAACTTTTCTTAACTTCGTACCATGTTCAAGTCTGATCATGAAGCATTCCATACTTCTATTGATGCGAAACTCAAAAAGCTTCAACTAGCCTTGGTGACGGAGAACAAGATCATGGATGCTCTCGCAGTCAAATAGGAAAAATGTAAGGTGTTGGAAACCCAGCTTCACTTCACTCAAAATAAGGTCAATGATTTGCTAGCAGAGAAACCAGTCACGCGAAATTGTATTTTTGATGTTAATGGCCTGCTCACTGGTATCATTGAGACCTGTGATCCCATGATTTCCATCACAATACAAAATCATTTGGCTGAAAAGCTAAGACCAATGTTCGCAATGTTGCACCGTTTGGAGGGTGTTCCGATGCTGATGTCTTTTCCGAAACAAGGGGGAGAAGGGAGTTCTAAAGTTAAATCGAATGATGTCAACCCCAAAGTTTCAGTTAAACCTCCAATCATCAAGCAATATCCAAAAGACAAGGTAACATTATTCAGCAATGAACCCATTATTGATGATAATGAAGATGAAGAACCTGATGAAGCTGAGCTTAAAAGGCGGAATGCTCGCAAGGCAGAGATTGATGAACATTCTCGTGTCATCAGAGAGGCTGAAGAAAAAGAAAGAGTTAAAAAGGAAGCTCAGGCCACTCTTAATAGCAAAATGTTATTATTTCCAAAGTGGGCCCTGAAGTGCATGCAAAACCAAGTTGTGGATATGCCAAGTCAGTGCTGGTTGGATCCTATTGCTTCATTTGATGTCCAAAATTCACTGGATTCGCAGTTAGAACTTCCTATTACACCAAATGCATTCAGGTTTCGTGCCTTTATAAAGGTTGCTAATGTTCCTTTCTCAGACAGCACTGGTGATCAACTACTGTTTGCCTTCTATTTGAAGCATATGAAGCCCCAGTTCAAAACTTGGAGTGCGAGAAAAATTGTAGCTGTGAAGGTTACTGGGCCAATCGAAACTGAAAGCTTCCCTAATGCGAAGTTTAAAGTGTTGATAGGATCTGCATGTCAAGCCTGCGAATTCACTCTCGCAGATTTGTCATGCTTGAGCCCCGATGACTGGATGGTAATATTCAATGTTCTGTTGCAAGAAAAGGAAAAGTACGAACCTATGTTTTCTCATCTTCAAACATTGATCAAGTCATACATTCAGGAAGTTGGATTAATGGATGTGGAAATTGCCACTGTTCTGAGGCAAAAACCAAGTGTTGTTCCAAAAGAAGCTCCGAAAGACTTCCAGAAGCTAAAGCCAGGAAAGATCTACAAGGAAGGATGGTTTGTGGTATACACAGCTAGAGATCGTCCAGGAGAATAGCGACGCAATTTATTCTTTCATCACGAAGACAAGCACGTGTTTACTACTTCTTGTCTGGAGTTCATTTTGGAACTTTTTGTGATGTTTAAGGGCAAAAACAAAGATGATGTGAAGTGTTTCACTGATATGATCACTTGGTACATTCATTTTTGCAAGCTGCTGGTGAGTTTCATTCCCAATGTCTACGAAGTGCAGAAGCGAATCATGAATTAACAAGGCCATGGTTTCAATTAACGCAAAGGGGGAGATTGTTGAAGATATTAGTGTTGCATCATTGGGCCTATGTTATTTAGTCCATTGTGTATAAACGATTTGGACATGTCCACTCGTATTTAATGCTAGGTTTATAGTGTATAAGGTGCATGCATGCTACGTATGTTAGGTAACTTTTCAAAATTATCTTTGTAACCCTAATTAACGCCTCTACAGAAGCGATTCTTCATCGAGTTATTTTGAGTTGTGAGAGTTAATCATTCCGGACCAGTTTGATCATATTGTGTTCTTTACATGCTTTAATCTCTTCGATCTCTAAGGATATATTCCTATCAAGATGTAATCTTCAGCCTATCCCCTGGGGTCCGAAGGATGATCATTCAAATCAAAAGATTGTGGCACTTTTGGTTTTTGAGTAAGTTCATTAGATTGTGGTTCTTGTAGTTTTGGAGTAGATTCATTAGATTATGGGTCTTGTGGTTTTGGCGTAGGTTCCTTAGGTTATGGAACTTGTGTATTTTCATTAGCCCTTTTTTATGTTCCTTCACCATTGTTGTCTCTAAAATCGAATTGTAACTTGAAAATTTTGTTACTAGCAACCTATAATCAAAATATATCAACTATAAACTTGATTGCAAGTTTCAAAAAACAAATAGCAACCTACAATAAAATTATCAAAATATATCAACTATAAACTTGATTTCAGGTTTCAATAACAAATAACAACCTACTCGAAAAAAAAATCAAAATATATCAACTATAAACTTGATTTCAAGTTTCAACAACAAATAATGACTAACTATTAACCATAAGCCCCTAATCTAACAAACCTAATTGGTAATTCTAATTTTTCAACACAATGCCAAAAAAATTAAATCTCAACTAACCTAACAATAAATAATAGGATTGGGTTTTTTGTACTTGTTTCATTGTGCACTTTGATCACTAATCACTCACCATAGGAGGGTTCTCGTTATTCACTCATCAAATACACTATAACCACCACCAACCCTCCATGCATTTGTCTCCTTACTGTCGCCCACCCTATCTTGGCCACCACATCGCACCATATTTTCTCTCCCTTCGTAATAATCATTTCAACATCGGTGCAATTCTCACTTGATAGTTCTACCACCGAGCTAAGAAGAACCCTTCCTACATATTCATTTACTAATATATATATATATATATATATATATATATATATATATATACAGTGAGAACAGAGAGATATACGAAGATATATAAGGACAAGTTTAAAGAACTCAAACCTTGAGATCAACAAAAAAAATGGAGGCAAAATTGATTGATTAGGAGTAGCCATTGTAGTATGATATTTGGAGTAAAAGTGCTACATATAAGAACTTTTATCCTGAAGCAAAAATGATTGAGAAACCAAGGTATTATCAATCAATAATAATCTAATCGTGTTGATTCAAAGGACAACCACTTTCCCTCTAATACAATCTGTGAGATCAGACGGATATATGGAAATATCTAAGGATATTGTTAGAGAACTCTAACCTTGAGATCAACACAACAATGGAGGCAAACAATCTTTCCAGTCAAGTTGGGATAAACTAGTTAAGCCTTCAAGATTTTAAAGAAACAAAGTATTCACGATAATATAAAAGAGTATTAAAAGTATGAACAGGAACAAGAAAAAGGAGAATTAGAAAGATCGACTGAATGATTCTTGATTGATACTTAGAATGTGAGAAAAATTTTACGGAATTACATGGGGTGATGGTCATATTTATTCTAACGCCGAACCAATGAAACAAGGAGATATATGTACTAAAATCTAACTATAAATCAACCACTTGACACATTGGTGTGGTTAACATTTGTCTTATACATGCGTTACAATTAATTAAGACAAAATACAAGCAAACAAAATATTACTCATCTTCAAGTCATTCAGTCTTCTTCAATCACGAAAATCTTCATAAGCTCGAACCACGTAATCCTTATATACTTCCGAATAAAAACCATCTTAGAATCTTGATACTTCGGATTACATAAGGGTCTCTTTTCATGTTCTAGAAATATTCCCTAAGTGACCTTATTAATCATCATAATTTTATATCTTCTCGTCAAAAGCAAATGAATATGCCTTTTGCAACAAACTTCTAACTTTTATCCACCATGAGAGTTGCTTGATCAGTTCCTGCATTGTTTTTTCAGAAGCTTCAAACTTGTAAGATTTAAAGATAAATCTTTGAAGCACACTGGTGTGAACTAAATTCTTTTATTCAAACCTAAAAAGCTCATTCTTGTCTGAATTCTTCTTCTTGTATACATATCTGAGCTATGGATCTATGATATGTCCTTTATTTAGAATATAAACTTCTTCCATCTTGGTGTCGATTGGATCAAGGATCTTTTCTGTTTCGAATCAAGAAGCAAACTCGACCTCCAAACGGCCAAATTCATCAATATAATCTTTTAGAAAATTCAGAGCAACATTAAATACTCCAATGCCAATTTTAGAGAAATTCTTGTTCTTGAGATGAGCAACAATTACAAGAACATCGTTCGGGTTAATGGAAGGAAAGTGTGATGGGTTTTGAGCATTACATCAATCCCATGGTGCACATGCAAACCCTAAACCGTTGGATCTAGGTTTCTCTAATTGTACATGCAAATCATCCAAATCTTGTAAACCCTAATTCTGGTTTAGATGATTACCTTTCAATTGCAGCAAGAATATTCAACCTTTGAGAGCTTTAGTATCAGACGTGTAATACCTCTAATTGGTCACAAACACTAAAGAAAGTTGGATGATCTTTAGAGAGAGGGGAAGGAGGCTCAAAATCGGCTCTTGATCTCTTGGTTCAATTTGTAGCCGATTTGTGAAGCCCTGGGGTCCTTTATATAGGTGAGCTGCTAGGGTTTCAGTCAAAAACCCTAATTGGATTGATTAGGCCTTATTCAGTCCAAAGGAACCTTCTAGAATAAGGCCTATGATGAAAACAAGGTGGGCTTCCCCATTGATTCTTTCCATCCCATTCCTAAGGGATCCTCAACCCAAAATCCAATTATCTTATAATTGCAATTCTAGTCTCCTTAGGTTCAATTAATATCTTTTGACCACAAAATTAATTTCTTAATTAATTCTTGACCAATATTAATTAACCAATATGATTTCTCTTTTAATATATTATTCATATAATATATTAATAAACCATAATAATCTTTTTCTCTATTAATCATCCAGTCAGGTTACTCTGGTGAAGGCAACCCAAAAGGACCATGCTACAACCGGGTCATGTACATACCAAATATAGTTATGGGCTTAGACATCTAATCCAACAGTCTCTCACTTGGATAAGTCTAATAACTATAGACGCAAGTACGACATCAAAATCCGATTAGCAATCGTAGCTCTCAAAAGCCGATGTTGAACTCTCACACGTCCTTTAGATAAGGGATCGTATAGTCCTCTGTTCTCAAGATATCGTGTGGACAATCACATGGAACAAAGTCATACTTATTGTCCAGCAGTTTGTTTCTCGATTTCTGACTCATTTGACATAGAAATTAATTGAACATATCAATTCAGTCCTGACCGGGTCCAGCACATAAATCAAACCAAATCATTGAGGGGCCCAATATATCGCTTTTACCCTCATAGGATAAAAGGAATATATAAACTATGACTTATATGCATTTACTATTTGCTCATGAAATCATAGACAACAATGGGTTTTATAACATCAAGTTACTGATGTATTTACGCATTATCAACGCATAACCAATTTGCAAATAATAAACCATATATTTAGGCTTAAAGACTATATGATATTATCGTCTCACAATCACTCGTGATTAATTCCATGAAGTGATTCAAGTGAGCGCGGGTTTAATCCAATACTCAAATCTTATTTCAAGAGCACTCATGAATGTTGCAACAAACTTTTGCTATGTCTAAACACTTAGACAATCTACAAGCCAATTCATGACAGTCTTCTTTCATATCTAATTCCAAAGTATGAACGACTGTGGATAGTTTAAATAATCTTATTATTTATGAAGTCAAAACATGCAAAGTGAAACAATAGTAAATAATTGACATAAGCTAGTAACATTACTTATAAATAATACTCCTTTATTTAATCATCAAAATGCTAATTACAATTTATCTATTACAAGTTTCTATGGCTATCTAATTACTAAAACTAATATCGTCCTTCAGCCTAATGCTCCTAACGTGCTGCAAGTGCTTAACCCTACTAAGTCCCTTCGTAAGAGGATTTGCTGGGTTATCCTCTGACGGTACCCTCTTCACTACGAGGAGTCCCTCTTCTACCCGATGTCTAATGAAATGATATTTCCTGTGCCATGATCCCTAGGTTCCTTAGTTAAGGCAACCGAACGTTCGTTATCGCAGAAAATCTCCATAGACTCCTTTATGGTTGGCACAACTCCAAGGTCTCTAATGAAGTTCTTCAACCATATTGCCTCATTTGACGCTTCGCTTGTTGCTATGTGCTCTGATTCGCATGTTGAATCAGCTACAGTCTCTTGCTTGGAAATTTTCCAAGTCACTACTCCTCCATTCAAGGTAAAGACCCAGCCCGCCTGAGAGCAGAAGTTGTCTCGGTCGGTCTGAAAACTGGCATCACTATACCCTCGCACCCTTAAGTCATCACTCCCACCGAGGATATCAAACCATTCCTTAGTCCTCCAAAGGTACTTAAGAATATTCTTTACTGCGGTCAAATGTGATCTACCAGGGTTCCCTTGATATCTACTGCCCTTACTCAAAGCGAAAACCACATCAG